AAAAAAAAAAAAAAAAGTGAATGACTAGATCTTTGCCTAAGACTCAGTAAAATGTATGTTTTGCATATATTCATCTGTCCCATACTCTTGGGAAAGTTTCTCTCTTATAAACTTTGAAACAAGATGGGTATATTCACATCACCTCAGGAGTAGAAATGATACTAAAACCTGGGTCTCTTGACCCTCAAATCCAAAAAATGGGCATAATTTTAGTATTAATTAAATGCTTTGAGAATGAAAGTATATACCCAAAGTCTTCTGAGAAGTTTCAACTAGAACAGAGCGTTCTTGCTCTTATTATTAGACAATATCATCAGCAAAAAACAATGACAGAGAAGCAGTTCCTTATTGGCTGGGATCTAGGTTAGATCATCTCTAAGATTCTTCCCAATCCTAAAATTATATTCTATGAAATAGTGGTCTCAGATGAGTTTGTTTCTATTACAGCTCTATGGGAGAAAGGTCTCTCCAAGGGATGTTCTTCAGGGGGCCCAGGTCTTCAAGGATGTGATTCTTGTGAACTCTTCCATGTCATTCACTTTTCTTTGTTTTCTCTTAACCCTCAGGTTGAGGAGCCCTCAGGAGCATCGACATCCTGGCATGACTCTGTGTCTGAGCGGCCACCCTACTCTTACATGGCCATGATACAATTCGCCATCAACAGCACTGAGAGGAAGCGCATGACCTTGAAAGACATCTATACCTGGATCGAGGACCACTTCCCCTATTTTAAGCACATTGCCAAGCCAGGTTGGAAGGTAATAAGTCACATAACAACAAAAGTCGAGGTCACTCTGACAGTGTTTCTGGTGCTATGCTGCAATTTATAACTGGGGCAGCAGTTAAGAACAAAGGATGGTAGAAATATAGACAAATGTTATCTTTTGGACTCTGATCCTGTTGAATCCAGGCACAGTTTTCAATAAGAGCTCTGTAACCACTTCATCTGTTGCTACCTAAGGTTTATGGAGAGTCTTCAATGCAGCCCCTGAGCCCACCTTTGTGCAATAGTGAACAGCAGTCCTAGATACCAGCAGCCAGAATGGCTAGTTTTGTGAAAAGATCTTTTTTTTTTTTTTTTTTTGAGACAGTCTCACTCTTTCTCCCTGGGTAGAGTGTGGTACCATAGATCATAGCAACCTCAAATTCTTGGGCTCAAGTAATCCTCTTGCCTCAGCCTCCTGAGTACCTGGGACTACAGGCACCCACCACAACACTTGACAGGTTTTTTTTTTTTTGTTTTTGTTTTTGAGACAGATTCTCATTATGTTGCCCTTGGTAGAGTGCCGTAGCATCACAGTTTACAGCAACCTCAAACTCCTGGGCTTAAGTGATTCTCTTGCCTTAGTCTCCCAAGTAGCTGGGACTACAGGTGCCTGCCACAATGCCCAGCTATTTTTTGTTGCAGTTGTCATTGTTGTTTAGCTGGCCCGGGCCGGGTTTGAACCTGCCAGCCTCAGTGTATGTGGCTGTCGCGGCAACCATTGTGCTATAGGCACCAAGTCCTTTTTTTTCTTTTTTAAGTAGAGATGGGAACTCGTTCTTGCTCAGGCTGGTCTTGAACTCCTAAGCTCAACCACTCCTCCTGCCTCAGCTTCCCAGAGTGCTAAGATTATAGGCATAAGTTACCATGCCCAGCCCATTTGTGAAAAGATCTTAAAGGAAAAAAAGAAGACTATCTGTGAGTCTCATGCCCCACAATTCATCTCCTATAATGTCACATATCATTTCTAGTGGCCAGGGATCTTCCCTTTATTTTATTCAAGGGAACACTGAGATGCCTGGGAGTCAGTGTCAGAGCCACATGTGAGGTCTTCTGATAGATACCCAATTTCAAGCCAGGGGTGGTTTTGGTTATTTTGGTTTTTGGTTTTTGTTTGTTTGTTTTTGTTTTTTTTTTGAGACAGAGTTCACTATGTCACCCTTGGTAGAGTGTTGTGGCATCATAGTTCACAGCAACCTCAAACTCTTGGGCTTAAGCGATTCTCTTGCCTCAGCCTCCCAAGTAGCTGGGACTACAGGTGCCTGCCACAGTGCCTAGCTATTGTTGTTGTTGTTGTTGTTACAGTTGTCATTGTTGTTTAGCTGGCCCAGGCTGGGTTCAAATCCACCAGCCTTGGTGTATGTGGCTGGCACCTATGAGCAGTACCTATGTTTTGGTTTATTTTCACTACAGTCGAACTCTTTAACATCATGGTTTTTGTTTGTTTCTTTGTTTGTTTGTTTTTGAGACAGAGTCTCACTTTGTGGCCCTGGGTAGAGTACTCTCGCATCATAGCTCACAGCAACCTCTAACCCTTGGACTCAAGTGATTCTCTTGCCTCAGCCTCCCAAGTAGCTGGGACTAGAGGTACCTGCCACAATGCCCAGCTATTTTTAGAGATGGAGTCTCGCTCTAGCTCACGCTGTTCTTGAATTCATGAGCTCGGGTAATCTGCTCACCTTGGCCTCCCAAAGTGCTGGGATTACAGATGTGAGCCGCTGTGCCCAGCCTTCATATTCTTGTATCACTTTAATTTCCTGGTTTTTTAATTTCTCTCACCCACCTAACCTGCTATTGACTACTGCTGCACAGCCTCACTCCCCTTTCCCAGCCCTTGACAGTTGTCCAGGCCTTTATCACCACCCTAAGGATGGCACCCTGTAGAATAGGTTCATGGCTGAGGTTGACAGCTCTGCAGTGTGATGTGTCAGAAAGAGAGTTGCTTCCTTGTGAGGTTATAAGGACACGGTGGGAGAGGCCTGAAGCTAATTTCCCCTTTTCTTTCGGAGGTGATGTTTCTGAAGCTAAAGTAGCTGATAACTGGTTGTCTTTCTCTTCCTCTAGAATTCCATTCGCCACAACCTTTCTCTCCATGATATGTTTGTTCGGGAGACATCTGCCAATGGCAAGGTTTCCTTCTGGACCATTCACCCCAGTGCCAATCGCTACTTGACCTTGGACCAGGTGTTTAAGGTGAGTGTCCTGCTTTCATTTAAATAAGGGCAGAGTTGGAGGTCATATTAGCCATCTTAAAAAGAAACAAATTCTCCTTGAGAAGCTCTCATTCAATCAGGGGAGAGTTAGAAGCCAGCTGGCTAGTGACTTCTACAGAACTCACTGAATTAAGTACAATTGACTGAGAACCAAATAACCATAGATCACAAAGTGAGGATCCAAAAGAAAGGACTTCCCAGGCTAGTGTTCTTCCCAGGTTTGAATTGCCTGAGATACTTGTTAAAAATGCGGTTTTCCAGGTCATTCTTTGGGGCTCCTGATTCAGATTCAGTGGTCTGGGATAGGCCCCAGAATTTGTATTTTTCACAAGCATCTCAGGTGATTCTTACAGAAAAGTCTTTGAAATCTTGCTCTAAAAAAGTCCTTCCTTTACACTGGAAATCAGAAGCTGAGCCACCAGAACCTTTTTTCAGACAGAAAGTGTTGTCTTGAGATTTGAGAGTATCTGTGGCACTGCTAGTAGCTATAACCTTTCTCCTGGGATGGACAGTTGTCTGGGGTGTTCCTTGGCATCAGTCAGGAACAGATGTTCTTCCCAGTCTGGTCAGACAGACCACATTGGAGGTAACTTCATCTCATTTCTCTCCTGCAATGCCTGGCCGCCACCAGCCACTGGACCCAGGGTCTCCACAATCGCCCGAGCACTTGGAATCAGTAAGATTCTTTCTGTCTGGCTCGGGGTTTGGTCTTGTTTTCCTTTGACTGCTCAGCATGGCTTTAGTGGACAGAGACAAGATGTGACATGGGGAAGGGAACCTATAGCCACGTGACTGCCAGCCCTAAACACAGAGCATCCTGAGGCTCTGGGAGTGAGGAACTCAAGGCTGTTGGGCATGTGCCCACTTCTCTTTCCTCTCCCAGTGGGCATCACACAGGTGTGCTGAGTGGAGCAGGGCATGGCCGGAGAGCAGGCTGCAGCAGCAATTTAGGAAGCTCACTTTTCTACCTGGCTTTTGTCTGCCATCCACATAGCTCCCTGCTTTAGCATCCCTAGGGGTGTGGTGAGGACACGTGGGTGAGGTGGTAGCACTGTCCTGCTATCATACATCTGTGTGCTGTCCACCCTCCCACTACCCACAGCTTTGGAGACTGCTCACCTGCATCTACCCCTCAGGTTGGCTTTTTCTCTCGGGGCTGTCAATCTCATGGTACCAGAGCAGCTGGTGGGGTTCTGCCCCTCCTTACCTTATTAACCCAGGTTTTCTTTCTCTCCCCATCTACCACAAGCAGCAGCAGAAACGACCAAATCCTGAGCTCCGACGGAATGTGACCATCAAGACTGAACTCCCGCTGGGTGCACGTGAGTATGGGAGAAGGGCCCATACCATGCTTGGGGGGGGGGGGACATACGTTCAGGGAATCAGATCCAAGCTGCTATTCCCAGCTTAAAGGGATCTGAGGGCTCGGCGCCTATAGCTCAACCGGCTAAGGCGCCAGCCACGTACACCTAAGGTGGCGGGTTCGGATCCCCAGCCCGGACCCGCCAAACAACAATGACGGCTGCAACCAAAAAATAGCCGGGCGTTGTGGCGGGCGCCTGTGGTCCCAGCT